GAAAAATCAAGGGAAGTGATTGCAATTATTAAATTCAGGGGAGGTTTTAGCAATTTGTCCTGCACACCCAGTTTTTAAATGGTTTCACATGCACTCTTAGTGTAACGATCACATTTGAAGCAGCAAATATTCTGCTAAATGCATTAATTCACCATAAATTTGACTTAGACAAAGGCAAGATGAACCATGGTTTTAAAAAATGACCCGGAAATAGAACTATTCTGGTCACCGGTTTTCGGGTTGACAGTTCGACTATCTAGTTTGAACGGACGACCCGTTCTGACAAAAAATAAAAAAAAAATAATTAAAAATAAAAAAGCCAAAACCCATTGAACAGGTCAACAGGTCGACAGTTTGACCACCCAAGTCAATGGATTGTTGATTGACTCAATGATTTTTGGCTAGGGACTGGGTTTGGGGTAAAATGGAACCAATTGCTTGAATAGTTCCTGAGCTGAACGGTCCAACCACCGGGTCAAAGGTGGTTCAAAAACCATGAGATGAACAAGTCAATGTTGTTTGTATTTTTTTTTTGTAAAGTGTTCACCCAGGCTTCACATTCACTTTAAGAAGGCGTTGCATTTCCTTTTGATAAGTATAAGACCCTGAAGTATTAGGCAATCCAAAAGTTCTTTTTATTCTACCTACGTTCACAACCATGATCTGACCTGCAGCAGAGTCATATAGTTAAGACCACGATGGCACGATCTATATTGGGGGTCCTAATCTCAAACGCCCAAAGATAGAGCTCATGTTGAAGGTGATTGAAACTAGAACTGTCCCCTATAATGGTTCCATAGTTCTAAGAGGGGTCATTTATTAGAACACTCTTTATAGTTTCATGTATTTATTTAAAGCTATCTTATAGTTTTCATTTTATTAAAATATTCTATATAGTTTACAACAACTTTTCATTGAGTGCTTGTTTTAACATTGGGCCCATGAGTGTTTATTCCAAAAATACCCCTAACACTTTTTTGTACAGAACAAAATTGATCAAATATAACCAATAGAGTGGTTGCTCGTAGGGGTGAACATTCAGTTTATTCGGTTAAAAACCAAACTGAATATTAATCAAATAAACCAAAATTTTAAAAATCAAAATAAAAAGATGAAAACCGAAATAATCAAAACCAAAATTTCCGGTTTGGTTTTTGGTTATTTTGGTTAAAAACCGAATTTAATTAATATATATAAAATATTATATATTATAACCTATTATGTATATTATAATATATATTATGAAATTGAATTTCATTATAATACATTATATATAATAAATATAAATATATAGCATATTATATATTATGTGTTATATCTTGTATCTTATATATTACATATTATATAATGAATTAATTTCTAACTCTGAAAACCAAAACCAAAAACTGAAAACTGAAATTCCTAAACATCGAACTAACCGAACCAAATTATCCAAAAACCAAAAAAACTGAATCGAAATAACCAAAACTGAAATTTTCAATTCGGTATTTCGATTTTAACCGAATAATGTTCACCCCTAGTTGTTCGTGTCTTATTAGGGGCAAAAATGATATTTTTATTTTTATTTTTCTTTTAATTAAATTTATTCAAATGAATATTAGGTCAAAACCATCATCTAATGGAAGGTTGATTAAGTAAATCCATTGCAAACTATAACGGGTGTTTTAGTAAAATGCAAACCATAAGGTAGGTTTTAGTAAATCCATGAAACTATATGGGGTGTTTTAATAAATGACCCTTCTAAGAGTTTAAATAGGCTATTTAAATTCAAATCCAAACTCCATACGATTGAGATAGTCGGATAGTTAGGAGATAATTTCTAGGGATTAAATTTAATTCATTATAGGAAGTTCCTCACTTCCTTGATAGGAGGAAACCATCTATATCAAAACTTTGAGGGACCCCTTTCTCCTGGTCGTTGAACTTACTCTCTTTACCACTGAAGCTCCAAAGAAAATTTTGTTCCTATCTACACCTTTTGAGAGGAAAAAAAAAATACTTCTAGTGACTGAAGGAGAATATCAACTCCTGCATCACCAAGTAAACAGATTGATGAAGATCCACTTCAAACCTGTGGGAGGACGAAGGAAGAGATACAACATAGATATGCCACATAACTGTAGAATTTCCTAGGAGGAAAAGCTCAAAGCCTCAAACAGAGGAGGTTTCAACGGTAGCAATGCCATTTTGAGGTAAAATATTTCTATTTCCATGTTTTTAATACTGTATTTCGGAAATGGATTTTGTGAATAGAAAGACTGATCGATCAGGTCTTGGTAGAATACCATGGCCGACTTTCAGTGGTATTAGGGCTGGTCCTCTTGACCATCATCCTAATGGCAGTCATGGAACTACACTAAACCTGAAGAGGTTCAACCTCAATAGAGCACAGTCAAGACGATCAGCTCTAATACCACTGAAAGTCGGCCACGGTATTCTACTGAGAAACAAACTCAACAATAAAATAAAACATTAATCGCCACAGACCTGATCGATCAGGTCTTTCTATTCACAGAATCCATGGCCGAAGTACAGTACTAAAAGTATGCAAATAAAAATATTTACCTCCAGATGATTGCTACTGTTAAAACCTCCTCTAGTCGAGCTTTTCCTCCTAGGAAACACCACCGGTATGTAGAACATCTTTCTTGTATCTCCTCCTTGACCTCCCACTGATCTGAAGTCGATCTTCACCAATATGTTTACTTGGTGTTGGAGGGGCTGATCTTTCTGTGAGAAAATTGCATGAACACAAAGGGGTCCCTCAAAGTTTTGACACCATGGCCGACTTGTAGAGCTTCTAGGCAGTTTCCCCCTTTCTGGGCTTTTCTCTCCGAACCACTCCACTGTCCATTTTGTCCCACCTACCTAGGTTACTTTGGAGCGGACTTTCATGCACAACCATCTAGTCCATCATGTTTTGTGACCTGCACTCATTCATTGTTTTGGAAGTGGTATATGATCTACATAACGGGAAAAAAAAGCTTGGCCCCTTTTTCTGTCTAGGCACAAGCAAGCACGTCGAGCAATGGAGATTCACCCACCCAATGACTGTAGGTGATTGTTCTATACTAAATTTGTTTATGTCCCTGACCACAAGTAAATCTTGTATAATTTGCTTACCGGACAGAGACTTCTATCTAAACCAGTGAAGTTGAAGACAAATTGCAAGGATGAGAACAAGAAATATCAAGATTAGAAGAATATAAAGTAAACAAAGGAACCAAATGCAAGAACACAAGATTTAAATGGTTTGGCAACTTGTTGAATCCATGGGTGAAGATGAACAAAGCAATCCACTAAAAATCTAAAAAGAAGTTATAATGAGAAGAAAAACCAAAGTTAAAGAGCAACTATTTTCCCTACAACTATAAGAGAAACACTCTTCTGACCTCAAATGAACCCTTAACAAGATCTTTATGTCTGGAGCCAAGAAAGTGAACACAAAATCATAAACTTGTCTCACAAAGAAAGCCAAAATACAAGTTTCCTCAATGACCAAGGTTCAAAATATCGCAATGTATTGACTAATACTTATCAGTTTTAAAACCCATCAATACTCGAAATACAAATGTTATGGATATTTTATTATTTGTATAGTAACAGTCACATAAAACTAATTTTCAAAGAGTCAAAAGAAAATAATAAAAAATGGGTGAGTATCAAGGCTTGAAAGCGCATGATACACGAACTTTTGGCAACGTGTGTTCCAATACTTGGAACCTTTAATAAGGACTCCTCTATGTGACTGACTTTAATTCTCTCATACAGCATCAGATGGATGGTGCAAAATTGGATGAATTGATTATGCATCCAAGGTGATTCTACAACAGCCATAGCATGCCTCGAGTAAAGAACATAGTCAGCAATGGCATTTAAACAAACTAATAGAATGTTACCACATGCTGATTACATACAGGAAAGGAAACCAAGCAGCATCCTTGCTAGCATATTAAAGACAACCATTAGGAAATTCAAATTTGGTTTACACATACCCACCAGGGCATTCGAACTAACCAATGTCAAGTTTCTATTTGTGTATCTATTACCCAGTCCTCTTGGGGTTTGCTGTAAACTACATCAAATCATTTCAATATTTATAGAAATTCTTAACCTAATACGAAATATTTTGTTATTAACTTGAATTATTATGCAAGTCTGGTGACACAGCTCCAGAGAGAAATGTAAGAGAACCAAATTACCTTAGCAAATAGCTGGCTTCTGTCTTGGTAAGCATTTGGATTTGCAGTCTGTAGTTAGCAAGCATCATATAACTTGCTTTACTGCTGAGCATTTCTAGCATTTTTAATTTGGTTGATAGATTAGAACATGCTGCCATATATGTAGGTATTTCAGACAATAGGTGTGTCATAGTGTTGAAGATTATGGTCAGACTTATATGTGCTATAATATATGGCAGATTAAAGAAATGTCAGTATTCAACACATAAGAGGCATTTAATTTATTAGTGTTTGATTTGATTGGTGAATAGCCTCCGTAACAAAGCTTAGATGAGAAAATCAAGCAAGGGAAAATAATCCTTTATTATCCAAAGTTTTAAGTTTCTTGTTTGTATTTCTTTTGTTTTTCTTTGGCCTGATAATCAAGATTCTGATTTGTGTGTTCTTTCCTAAAATCACCAATGTGGATATTTTCAAGGTTGCACATCTTGTAAACAAGTTTGCAAGTGATTTATAGGAAGGTAACTATTGGAAGTACATAACTCAATTATTTCTCAGTTGCCATGTATTTCCTTTTTAACTAAATAAATTTAGAGTTTGACTCAACACCATGGATGGGGATGTACTTTGGATGTCAGACTAGCCATAGATTGAGCAACTGGAATTTACATTTTGAGATGGGTAGACATCAGAGGGGAAAACCTGAAAACTGCGAAATGTATTCTCCTATAATAGATATATGCAGCCTAATGTACTAAATGAATTATGATCGACCAGAGAATTTGTTTTATGTGACAGCAATCATTACACTGTTTTAAGGACTACAGAATAAGGAAATTTTTTATTGCTGAGGAATACCTTAGCACCAAACATTTGATGTGAGATGAAAAATGATCAGTCTCCTTTTTCCCTCCAAAAAGACCCACCAAATAACACGAATAAGAATCTCATTGCATCTATGAAAAAGATCGAGAGATGGTACAAGATATGTATTCCTAAAAATTAAATGTGAGATAAGCAAAAAACAATACATCAAATATTGTAAATCATGCCTTCTTCGCTGAAAAATCAAGGATGAATTCCCTGATTTCATCACTGGCTGCTCGATCAAGTGCTGTCCTGCCGTCTGAATCTTTGGCAGTGTAACTGGCTCCAGCTCTCAACAGTTCCTCAATTTTAGGCTTGTCACCTTCGGACGCAGCCATCATCAACAAGATGTCTACAGGATGTATGCTTTGATTTAAAAGAGCATACATCTTATCATAAGAACCCTCTACTGCAAGCATCCCCATGTAATTGAAATACTGCAAAAGAAGTTTCTCGTCTTTATTACTGAAGCCCTATCGAATTTAAGTGCATTATCTTCCGAACACAGATGGGGTCATTGACTCATTGAGGTTTTTATGAGAACATTCTTATCTATGTACATCAAACATTTCTCATTAGAGTGATTCAACCAAAATGCTAGAAGAGCTGTTAATAGAAAACCAGAGAAACTTCACAAACAAAGAGATTGATAGAGCATCAGAAGAACATAAACAAAATAAACCCAAGAAAAGAGAAAACCGTGGGCTCAAAATTCTAGAGTTAAAATTCTTGGTTGAAGGGAAATCAATTTGGATTTTCTAAGAGTAAGAAGATAGTGAAGCCCCTATACTACCACTCCAAAAGTTCTGATTCATCAGAAAGCAGAACCCATCTCTGTTTGGGGAACGGAAAAACTTTCACGACTCACAATCCGTAATAGGAACAACGATAACAACAAACTATCAGTCGAGAAAAAATTACCTGTTCAACATCATCTCGATCAAAATCATCACGAGTCTGGCTGCCGTAGACCCCAGCATCTTCGGCATTAACACCCCTTTTCCCGAATTTAAACCAACATTTGGCTCTAGAACCGCTACAGGGTCCAATTTTAGAACCAATTTTGCACTCTCTAAACCATCCAAGCCCTCTGCGTCCACCCAAAAATTGAGAACCATACTTGTTTAAAGAAGACGACCCACAAGTTGCCGAAGGTAAGTTCAGTTGAACGGAACAGGGGACTGACGCCATTAAAAAGTTTCAGAACAAACAGCTTAACAATCTAAGTTCTACATAAACCAATGAGACTCCAAGGATCGTTCCAGATAGAGAGAGAGAAAGGAGCCCGAAATCCGAATCGTAGCTCTGCTCTATCTGTTCTTCCAATCTTCTTTATCCACTTATCTAGATGGAAATCTATTAACGGAATCCAACGGATAAAGATAGACCTCCCTATCATAATGCCAATAATCTTCACCGTTCAAATGGTATATTCATTTCTAAAACCAGGCTCTTCAAATTAGTAGGGGCTCATATTTTAGTAGCATAGATTTCGATTTCCATGTTCGTCCGATGAGCATCAACCTGTTTTGCAAGTAGCAAGGAGAGTTGGATGGTTTGGATTGAAATTGAATGATGTGCAACTGCCCCGTTTATTTCGGCCGGTGCGGGTTAGATCGAAACCGACCCGACTATACAAACAAACAAGGAGAAACAAGGAGAAAGAAATCAGAATCAAAATCAAAATCAAAACCCTGTCCCTGTCTCTGGCAAGAGTAAGCCAATAGACAGAGCAGTCTCCAGTCTCGTTGCATCTTCTGAGCAAATCTTTAATACATGGAAGGTACAAAAATACTTCAGAGTAGTGAAATTCTATATATGTAAAAGGGGAAGCCTTCTGAGTTATAACTTCTAAGCTGTTGTTTTTTAATCTTTCATGCCTTCTGAGCTGAAAAAGAGAGGATGAATTCCTTGATTTCGTCGGTGGATTGATCGAGTGCGGTCTTGCCATCAGAACCCTTGACGGTGTAAAGAGCTCCAGCTCTCAAGAGCTCCTCGATCTTGGGCTTGTCACCTTCCGAAGCAGCCATCATCAACAGGACGTCCACAGGGTGTACGTTCTGGCTGAGAAGAGACTCCATTCTATCATATGAACCCTCTGCCGCCAGCATCCCCATGTACTCGAAATACTGCAGATAGACATGGAATTAATGCCCCATTCGTTATTCAGAGCTGATGAGTAGAGTCGTAGAGATAACAAGAAACAAGCAAGCAAAGAAACAATCGAGGAGGATTAAGTACCTGTCCAACGTCATCTCGATCGTAATCATCTCGACCTTGGCTACCGTATATCCCAGCACCTTCAGCGTCGACACCGTTGGTTCCGAATTTGAACCAGCACTTGGCTCTGGAACCGCTGCAGGGTCCGATTTTGGACCCTATTCTGCAAGCTCTAAACCATCCAAGCCTCTTTCGAATGCCCAGAAATTTAGAACTAAATTTGGACTCAGACGAAGAAGAAAGATAACTAGTGTTAGTTGTTGAAGGCAATATTAGTTGAATACTACAGGGAATGGACGCCATTGAAGTTTCAGGGGAAGGAATGAGAATATGAGATGAACCCAGAGAAAAGAGAAAATCTAAGCCCTTTACGTAAACAAACCACTGCACTGAAGTGAAATTAAACAAACAGACATTTGGAGATCATAGTAGGTAGGTCAAGGTAGTAGTGTAGTAGCCTTATAATAATACTAAAAATCTGCAGAGGTCACAAATGGCGATGGTTTTGTAAAACCGGGACAGACTGTCGCAACCAGTGGGGCCGCCTTATCAAGTTCGCATAGTTCAGTAGGCATCGGATTATATCGGGGCGATCCTAAGGACCATCCAACGGTAACGGCCACATTCTGAGTCTGAGGGCGTATCCAGTTTGCAGTTGGGCTGAGAAAGAAGATGACTGCCTGGCTTGAAATCCGCTTAACAGCGCCCGCCCATGTATTTGGGTGTTGGCTGGGAGGGCAGAGAGCCCCTCGTATTTCCAGTCTGACTCTAGAAGAGTTGCTGGTTTTGGTTTTGTACTTGAAAAGGCTCTCAGCAAATTAACAGCGCCCGCCCGCCCATTCTGGTTTTGGTTCTGTACTAACAATTTAAATTATGTTTTTTTTTTGGATTATCAACTTAAATATTTTTAAAATATTTAATAATATCTAATAGTTTTAAATAAATAAATTTTAAATATTTTATAGATTATTTAAATATATAAATAACTAAATATTTATCATAATTATATTTTAAATAGTTAAAATAACAAAATTATGTAATAAATTTAAAAAATTTCTTCAAAGTAAAAAAATAATTATAATATAATATTGAAATTAATAATGAAATTATGTAATAATAGTATAAATAATGGTTTTATGGATACCTAAATTCAATAAATAATTAATATTTTTAAATTTAAATATTTTACATATTATTTAAGTATTTAAATAACTAAACATTTTGAATAACAAAATATTTAACATAACTAGATTTTAGATAGTTAAAATAAAGAAATTATGTAATAAATTTAAAAATTCTAACAAGTAGAAAATAATTATAACATAATATTGAAATTAATAATAATTTAATATTTTTACATAATATTGTAAATAACTAATTTCACTTATATCAATTAATAATTCAAGAAAATAACTTTCAAAATTTAATATTTATTAATAATAATTTTAAACTCTTAATCTGTATTTATTATATAATTATATATACTAAAATTAATATTTATTGTATTTTAGTAATTATTTATTGTTTTCTATGATAAATGTAGTTTCAATGATTATGTATGAATTTATTTTATTTTGTTATTTAATAGAAAACTTTCAATAATTATTGGAGACTAAATTACTATTATTGAAAATTTTAAATTTAATTTATTGTACTTATTGTGTTTTTGTTATAACTTATTGACTAATATTTATAAGAGATTAAACTATTATTTGAGATTATACTATTTATTGATTAAGCTAATATATTTTTAGTACTTATTGTATTTTTGTAATTATTGTTTTTTTCATCATCAATATATTTTCAATAATTATGTATTTTCACTATAAATTTTTAATAATTATTGGAGATTAAACTATTGTTATTTATTAGAGATGAGACTACTAATTTAACTGAAATTATGAGTGTTCATGGGTTGGTTTGGTTCGGTCATAAGCTATTTGGCCAATCAAATTGACTTGATCAGGTTGGGGAGTTGGTCAGTTGAAACTGACTGACCTTTTGTGAAAACTGACCCACTCAAGTCGTATCGGTTTTGGTTGATTTTTTGGTTTGGTCAATCGGTTCAAATGATTTAAACTTAAAAATTTAATTTATTTTTAAAAATTACAGTGCAATTATTAAAAAATAAATTTAAAAATTAGAATTATGATATAAAACATTTTAGACTAAGAAATACAGAAAATTTCCTATTTTCCATATTAAAAATTATATTTAAAATATAAAATATTAATATATATCCATGGTTAGGTCGCTCGATTTTGGTCAATTTGGAAATGGCTAAAGTGAAACCGATCTAACTTGGTCGAATTGGGAAATTTTTTGAACCAAAGCCGACCTAAAATACTAGAAAACTGACCAACTCGGGTCAAGTTGATTGGGTTGGTCAATTTAATTAGTTTGATGAATAAACCTAACTGAATTTAATTATTGTTATTTTTGTATTATAAAAAAAAATTATCAAAAGTAGTATATAAAATATGAATAATTATTAATTATTTAAAAAGTTAAAAATATAAAACAATCGTATACTCTTATGTGTTCACATCTACACCCCACAACATCCCATAGCATATTCCCGTCATTTATTGGGAACATCTCCCGATGATGACATCATCAGTTCCGATACTATCATCGAGATATGTTCCCAATACATGACGGAGATGTACTGTGTGACATTTGTGGGGCGCAGATGTGAAATCTACTCTTATGTATTTCTATTAGGGTCATTTACTAGAACACACCTTATAGTTCTACATATTTACTTAAATCTACCTTATAGTTTTCATTTTACTAAAACGTCCCATATATTTTACAACTTATTTGCTTAATCAACCTTTCATTAATGAGTATTTGTTTTGCCATTAGTAGGGTTGTTCATAAGAAGGCCCAACCCGACCAAACTGACCAACCCAAACCGACCCAACCCGAGTCGGCTAGATTTTTATCAGCACCGGTCGGTTTCGGGTTGGGCAAATTTATAAACTGAAATATCGAGTCGTTTCGGTTTCCTTGTGTAAAACCCGAAACCGAACCGAACCGAATTAGTCTTCCTACTTAACTAGTCTTCTACTAGCCCGGTAGTTCCTAGTTTCCTACTTAACTAGTCTTCTACTAGAACTAGAACAACCCTATCTTCTAGTTCCTACTTAACTAAATTGTATCTATCCTAGTTTCTATAGTCTTTTATGGTGAAGAAGATGATGGCATGGACAAAAGTAACTTCTTTTGAAGCCAAAGAAATGAATCACAAAAGGGGATTAGAAGTTTAAGAAATAAGGAAACTCTGGAGCTCTATGTGGGAAAGGAAGTCTTACAGCTTCCTTCCTCTAATAATAGATCAGGATCACTGGGTCTGAATCCAACGTCTCAATTCAAAACTTATGCCCAGATGGCTACTCTAGGCTCTGAGAAAGGACAGTTGGGAACTCAGACATGAAAAATTCTCTGCTCAATGACAGGTGGTGGTCAACAAAGGTCTAAACATATTAAGGTTGCTTGCTTACCAGGGAAATACAAAAGCTTTTTGAGTGCTGTGGAACAGGGATTAGTAAGGTTGACACTGGACCAAAGGTGAGACAAGTTTCAGAAAAAAGGTTTGACTACAAGAGCAAAACCGAAACCGACCCAACCCGACTCAAACCGACCAGGTCGGTTTTGCCTATCAGTGGGTCGGTTTCGGTTTCCACCTTAGGTAACCCGACCAGGTCGGGTCGGTTGGAAAAACCCCAATAAACTGACCCAACCCGACCCGTGTACAGCCCTAGCCATTAGGCCCATGATTTTTTATTTCAAAAATACCCTTAACACTTTTTTTGTACATAAAACAAAATTGACCAAATATAGTTAATAGAGTGATTGTTCATGTCTTATTAAGGGCAAAAATGGTATTTTTATTTTTATTTTCTTTTGATTATATTTATTTAAATGAGCATTAGGGTCAACACTATCATCTAATAGAAGATCGATTAAATTTATTGCAAATTGTAAGTAGTGTTTTAGTAAAATGCTAAATTAGTAAATCCATAAAATTATAAAGGTATTTTAATAAATAACCATTTCTATTATTTAGATTCCGCTTAACAAATCCCATTAGTTTTACAAAAAAAAAAGAAAAACACTTGAAACAAACGAAGCCTAAACAATACGTTTTCCAACATACTACACCACATATTAGTTCGTATTAATTCCTATGCATCTGGGTCGTACAAGAGTTGGATGGTTAGAACCACGTCGTAGATGGCGGTATATCCCCACGATCTGATGAATGAATGGCGATGTAATCATACGGTCTGGATTGGATGTTTCGAACTTATCTGCCTGTATTAGCCCATGCGGGGTGGGAAATGTCGCTTTTGGCCCAAACTTCAAGAAAAGCTCTGGATTTTGGAAAGGACTGTCAATGCGCATAAAACGAGTCGGATCTGAACTGGACCAATTTGTTCGCATCCGTTGAATGTTGATATATGGGCCGGATCTATATATGGACTAATTTGTCCACATCCCCTCATGTTTTTCACAATCATAAAAACCTCCCCTGATTTCATTTTCACGAAACCCTTTTGATGGAGCGCAATCCGGCCGGTCCTAGTTGTCAATGATCTTGTCTCTGATTAGACCAAAAGTTGCCTGAAACAGAGAAGAAAGCAAGTAATCTCCAGGGAGGAACCCGGTGAGAGTGCTCCAAAGCTCAAGTTAGTATTTCCTCAAAGGCAAGATAAAAAACCAGATGGCGCAAAGTTATCACATACCTCCTTCTTGGGGGGAAGAGAGCCTTTTATAACCACTTCGCGCACTCACTCCCAAGCTTCTGTTAGGTCGGGTATCATTACCTATGCACTTCTGCTAGTTCGGGTGTCATCACCTCTGCTGGGGCAGACAACCGCCACTGCTCTCTTTGTAGGAGCCGTCTCTGTGACTGGAGGTGGCGGTGGCAGGTGGCCGTTGAACTGCGGCTGTCAAGTGTCAGATCCTAAGTCAGTCAGGTGCGCCACCTCAGGATACGAACTCCTTTGGTGTCAGGTCAGGTACGATTGTTCAGTTCGGCGTCCTGGAGCCGAAGTGTTGAAGTGGTGTGCGAGGTTAAGTCTTGAGTTCGGATAGAGGTGTGGCCCAAACTGCCCTAGGGCGGGCCAGTTTGGGTTGTTGCCCTTTGCGCTCCTAATAAGGCTCGGGGTCAAAGGGAGAGTTCGGGCTCCTTTTGGGGAGCTCGGACCGCTGGTTCCTCCTCTCGGAGCTCGCGCCTTGAGCGTACTGCCGTGCCGAGCTGTTGCCTCTGCCACATGTTGAGTGGTCAAGAGGTCAGGCCAAATCTTCCTTCATCAATTGCTCCCCACTCCACGCGCTAAGGGGCTTGCCCTGGCGCGGGGAGTTCGCGAGGTGGCGGGTGAATTTGACCCGTACTTCGAACTGGTTTGACTGATAGCGCAAAGTGCGCGTTCGTTAGGAGATTTCCGGGCTTCTCGAGCGCCAAAAAGTCAGGAAATGCGCCAATCTGTGACAGCGCGCATTTATTTCAAAATTTAAAAAACGCACCGCTGGGAGACGTGACAGCGGGCGTTATTTCAAATTTGAAAAAACGCGTCGCTGTTGCCTTTAACACGAGGAGACGTGCGTCGGCGCTGCTTCAGTTTCAAAAGACGTGCGGCTAGTTACATCTCGGTCTTAGGAGACGTGCGGTCAGCTTGATCGTGGGCCGTTGGATTTGCCTCGATTAGAACCG